TAAATATATATATATATATATATATACATATATATATACATACATATATATATATTATAGTATATATTAATGTAGAGTTATAGATATATTAATACATAAATTAATTATAATTAGAACTGATTTAGTGCATTTAAATAATAAAAATATCCATATTTTTGTTTATGTATGTGCTTCATGTACTCATTTGTAATTACAAATAAAAAATTCTTTATTCTTTCATGTATGTTATTAAAAGTTATTTGGAATTGTGAAAAAAAATAGAATATCTTTATTCATTTCAATATCTTTGTCCCGCTGAGATTTGGGAGAGGATTGCTTATGCTACTTACGTGAACTGACTGTGCATTTCTTTAGTTTATTTCTTTCGCTTCGATAGATGCTTTTCATTACACGGATATAGAAGGATATTACTTGCTCTAACCAAAGATCAAAAGAGGTATGCATTCAAGAAGACTAGAAAACTCCTTTAGTCTATTAATATATTGACTATAGTTATAGTAATAATAATTTTCTGTTAATTAAATGAATTTATTCACAGTACCTTCAGTTTATTAATATAAAAATGATTATAATTTTATTTTCACTTGGTGCTTTGTGTGCTATTTATAATCGTAAAAACTTATTAGATATTTTCTTACCTACACGTTAAAGTGAACTAATGCCTTTTTAAATGCCAGGAAACTATTGACGTATAAAAAAAAATAGTCTATTGATGCATGGACTATAAGTATAGTCATATTATTCATTTAATGAAAAGGACTATAATTATAATCATATTATTCGAATAATAAAAGAACCGTAATTAAACTTAGTTCCGTAATACAGAGAAAATTACTGTATTTTAGCTTACGTTTGGTGTTTTGTTAAATAACTAAATCCAGGATAAATTTTCAAGTTTTATTTTTTGTATTTTTACGATATTAAAAGTAATTTGTAACTTAATTTAACTTTATTTAGCATTATATATTAACTCTATTTAATATCCCAATGTATAATCCTTCATATAAGTCTTGTGAGGTAATTTCTTATTCTAATCACATGAATTGCCGGTAGAAGGAAGAAAATTACTGTATTAAATGGTAATGATGTTTCAAATGAAAAAAGAAACAGAATATCTATAAAAAAATAAAATCAATGTGAACAATAATCCCATATCAATAATAAAACTAAAATATACGGTATTTAAACCATTCATTTGGTAATTTTCCAGGTCATATGGTAACTGTTTACCAGATATTTTTATTTTCAGAATTATAGTTCTCATTCCAATACATTTAATAAAAAATTCAAAATTTAAAAGTGAATTTAAATAATAAGTGATTTTCATGCAATGTTAAGGTATAAAATAAAATTACCTAATTTTAACGCACATTATGAAACAATATTGTATTGTTAATTTTTTCCAAATCATGACCAAAGCACTTCGATAAAATTTACCGAACTTTTTCGTTTAACACAAACATTTTAAAAGTAGAGGCAAAAAATGGGGCTTATTATCAATCAAAATAAGATGGAAATTTATAACGTTAATCCGAAACAATGAAATGACATATTCTTAGAAAATAATATACTAGAGTAAGCAGTTTTACCGATCTTGGAAGTATAATTAACAACAGCGGAAAAACGAATGAAGCTATGCTAAATAGATTGAACAAAGTCAGAATCAATTACACTATTCTCAATGAATTCTGAAACAACAAAATTTACAATTTTCGATACTAATTTCCTAAATACTAATACTAAATACTAAATAAGCATACTAATTTAATAAATTTGTATATAGATCCAAGACATGGCACTCCAATAAAATTAATCCGAAAAACATCAAGCATTCATTAACAACTGTTTAAGCAGAATCTTGCTTATCAAGTGTTGTCATAAAATTTATAGCGTAAGAATCCGTAGAAGAGCAAAAATATGCAATTGATCTGCGAATTAAAAAAAAAACGTAATTTTAAATTTATTGGTCATGTTCTATGCAAACATGGGTATTTAAAGTTAAACAAGTCTTTGATTGGAACCCTCAGGGCAGTAGAAAGAGAGGAAGACCTAAAATTACTTGGCGCTTGATTGTAAACGAATTGAAATCACTGGGAAAGACGTGGAGAGAGAAAAAATGTCTGGACACAGTGAGATGGAAAGCTATGATAGAAGCTTTATGCTCTAATTAGAGGGAAAAGCAATATGTGCATGCATGATTTTGTTGTTCCCAAAGAGTCAGAAACATGGTAAAGTTTTGACTACACTTTTCCCCTAGAGTGAACATTTGTTTTATTTATCTTTTCCGCTTCGATAGGTGCCTTTCCTTACTTAGATTTGGACTTGAAAAAGACCAAATAAGGTCAAGAAGATCAGGAAACACTTTTAGTCTATTAATAATATTCCTTGGTATTTATATGTGGTTTCAGTTTTACTTTTATACTAGTACTCAAGGCATTTTAAAAAATACCTTAATGCTTTAAAGATAAATTTCTTAATTTATTTAACTAAAAAATGAATTTTTCTAATTGTATTTTCCGAAATATATACTCTCTTTAGGTAATTTATTTTTTAAAAAACTTATTATTTACAAACTTTGCTTTAAATTACCAATTGCGTTTCATTATAGATGCTACAAAGATTAGATGCAAGTTATTAAGATTCAACTAATCACATTTTAAGTTTTAAAAATCTGCACGATATTAAGATTTAACACAAAAGAAAATTT